TTTATAGACCAATCGGCACAAGATGGGTGATGTGGTCAGCATCACGCCGGCCGCCTTTACTTCCGGGACATTATTATTATTATTTTTTCGCGTTCGTGGGCTGTAAACTCCAGCGGGAAGTTATGGTTGTTCGTCCGCTTCTGGATTTTAGTCTTGTCCCAGAACTTGATATTTTCCTAGACATCCGTTTTAGGGATCTGAATTAAGTACATGCAGACGGTTGATTCCTTGCCTCTCCGAAAGAACACCCCTATTTTGTGTCATAGAGGGGGACCGTAAGGGTAGGACAAACTCACCTTGGTAATCTGAACGGCTGTTGGGGCGAGAGAGTCGTCTAACGCCACACGGATGTGGAAAGCCGAGGCGAAGCTACAACATTTTGCATCCTTAGAAACAGCATGGCTGGAACATGGGTGGGGGGTGTGTGCAGTTATGGTTCCTGTGATGAGGCCTGCATCGACTAGCAAGACGATGGACACCATGAAAGTTGGCAGTGGGACCAGCTGGTTCTGCTGTGTGTCGCGATGAGAGCAACTTTCAAACAGGACCTGCTTCATAAGGATGTTAGTCTGCTGAATTTTGGCTAAGAAGCTTCATGGAGGGGTCAAAGGGAACGACCTTTACACACGCCAGAGCGTTCATCGACACAAACCATAGCAACAACAAGGGGCAAAGTACACTAGCCATCTGTCCCCCTGGTACAAGAATATCTATAAAATGTAGGGAGATAAAGATGCCATATGGTACGAATAAATTAAGCGGAGGAGCGAAAATAATAGTGATAATAAGGCCGCAGAAATAATCGTAGTAATAATAGTCGCAAAAACTTTAATGATGATAACAATAGTAGTAAGAATAAAAATACTAAGGATCTGTAAACAGTAACATGATGGTGAGCTTGGGATAGGGAAGCGTAATCGAGGTCCGTATGTGGTCTTGTATGGTAAGGTACCTGATGGTAATTGTTGCATTTGACGAAGCTCTGCATGACATTCGTTCAGCTCGACGAGAATCTGGTTCTTCTTCTGCATTCGTCTCTAATAAGACGATTGACACGTTGTAGTTTACAGCTAGGCTGCCAGATACCCCCACATTTGACGCCCAAATATGGTGTGTTCGAATTATGAATTTGCTTTTATAGACCTTGGACTGCAGACGACATGGTATTACGGTGGTTTACACAAGCACACACGGAAAGAGAGAGAGAGAGAGAGAGGGGGAGAAGTGTGGTTTATTACTAGGTAGCTCTCCACTAAGACCGTACATTAATACCCGGTGACACAAAGTGCCCACATTCGGATGAGAATCACCCTGTCGCAAGTCCCAGAAAACCCAGTTCAGTCGTAAGGTTATACTATGACTTACGACGAACGAAACTTCAAGTCCAGCAGGGGTGGGGCTTGAAAATCCACACACACGCTCGCGCGCGCACATGCACACTAAATTGTCTCATTTCGGTAGAGTCAACCCTGCCTGCATAGCTTTTGCCCGTTCTCTCTTTCCAACAGCAACTAAACCTTTGGGCCTTAGACCATTGCTATTGTTTTATCCCAAAGATAAGAGCACTGTGATTGGTCCATGCATCGTAATCTGCATAGCCCTTCATAGCAGTGGGCATGTTGAGGTATCAGGTTTCAATGTTTGATCCGACCTGGGCACTTTTACCTTGTTCTGGTCCTATTGACTGTTATTGTGTTACTACATGAATTCTCAGCACGTTGTTGTGACCTTGTTTGCTGTTATTATGTTACTCCAAGGATTCTCAACATATTTCCCTAGTCTTCTTCTTCTTCGCGTTCACCAGCTGTAAACTCTGGCGGAAAGTTCTGGTTGTTCATCCACTTCTGAACTCAGAACCCTGCCCTAGTAACTGGTATGTCTCTCAAAGGTGTAGCTACGTTTTTGGTGGTGAGGGGAAGGGGGGTGCGTACAGCCAGAGTATGCCAAGGGTGACCTTTGTGGCACAGGTGAACTAGGTGGCCGTTTTCAAAAGTAGGTCATAAGGTCAGCCGTCGCTGTCAGGTGAGATAATCAGGTAATGAGAGTTCCAAGATCACAGCAAAGGAGACACCCGTAGTATCCCCTTTCCCGTGCCAAGTAAACCACACATAATGCTTATCACTGCCCCTTGTGAACTAATCGACACACTTTAGTCTAGGCAAAATATTAAATGCATAAGGCAGCCGTCAGAAGTGTCAACACAAACAGTCCATCACAGTTCACCACAGTGGCAGTTCATACTGGATGAAAGAAGTAGTTGCCTCAGATTAGTAGTTGCACACGCAATTACTCACATAAGGCACCTCCAGTTATGTGGCAACAGACCACTGGCGATGTTCTGAATCTGCAGTTCACAACATAAACCGCATTGGGCACAGTCTAAAAGCACTTCGAATAAAATTTGTAGCTCCCAGTGTCGCGCCATGCACTCAGCCCAGAAGCTGGGCTCGTAACTCTTATCTTTTCAGTCCAGATATGATGGAAAATGCAACGGTTAACCAGTCAGAAGCAAATAACTTGCCACGAGTCAGCTTGTCTATCCACCATATGCAATGAAGTCGATCCTCTTGACTTCAGTTTCAACTAATTGTTATGGGCGTGGCACATGACGATACGACCCCCTGTGTTCCACTGGAGCAGTTTGAGAACCAGTCTACACTGAAATGATATTAGGCCTTTAATTTGATTGCGAGAGAGTAATTCTAGCGACTCACGAGTGTGTATAGGACAAGTAACAAAACCAGCCATATGTACCCTACACTGGTTACCTGATAGCCTGAAAATGATGCCTGGAACATTGGGCAGTGAATGTATTTAGAGAATCAAGACGTGCTTGCTAAAACCTAAAATGCAAATTAGAAGCATTAGTGAAACTGTTATCTTGTCGTCCAACTACCGGGAAAGCGTGCCGTGTTTGTGTATTGTAATTGTTTTATTAAACGGTGTGCCTGGTGTGTGGTTGGTTTTGTATTAGTGTTGGATAAATAAGGCACTGGGTTAACCGTACATTTGTCTGTCCGTTTGTCTTCCAAACCAAATTATAAGCTTAATTCTTCTTCTTCTTCGCGTTCACCAGCTGTACACTCTGGCGGAAAGTTCTGGTTGCTTGTCCTGCTCCAGAACCTGAGTGTTGCGTGTGCATCAGTTTTACAGATCTCATTCTCTTGAATACAGACTGTTGGTTCCTTGCCTCTCCGGCAGATGCACTCCGACTTCAAAGGAAGCTCCCCAATTAGTCGACTCTTACGACATGCTTTTGGGGAGGCAGTGAGTCTTCTTGTTTTCCCCACAATGGGGCCCCGGAACCCACACGGGGGGTATATAAGCTTAATTGACTGGGCACAGAATCACATAACAGTTACTGGAAAGACAAACAGAAGGAAATGAGGGTGTCGTCAGAAACCCAAAGACGGACGTTGCTATAGGTTCCATTCTGGGCCCTTTACTGATCACGAAAGGTTTGCTTAGGATGGAACGGCATGAAAGAATCAACTGCGAGCTTTATGTAGTACAAGAGTATCATTCGTAGTTACAACTTCAGGACCAGACGTTAACCAGACGGAAATTAGAACCAGAGAGCTTCACATTGTCACAAAACGATAAATAAACATTGCAGCTAGAGAGCATTCATCAGCACAGTACATCTATCAACAATACTAGAAGTAAAAACAAAAATACGCAAGGCAAATTGAAATAAATACATAATAAATACCAAAAAAAAACATACACTACGAAGGAGCTAGACGGGAATACATAGGTAATTGCAGTTCTGGGAGAGTGGGACAGAGGACACACAGTCACCCAGTAATTTACCTGTTCCTGTGTTAGTGAAATCCACACAGAACGCCCATTACTGTCCCATGGGGAAAGACAAACATGCAGCAGTCCCCGGCAAAATCCAGCATCTCGCGCCTGCATTAAACACAGACTCCAGAAGTGCCAACACCAACAGTCTGTCACTGCGATTGCAATTTATAGTTGATGGAAGCAGCAGTCACGACAGACTAGCAGATGTGCACGCATTACTGCATAGCGCATGTCGCCAGCTCTCTGGCAGCTAGGTGATGGGCAGAGGATCACACTTAAGTTACAATTACTTCGGCCGCTTGTCCAGCATGGTCACTGGCAAGAATAAAAGCAACAATGCAGACCAGGTTTTTCAAACGTTTCAAGAAAAATAATCATTTACAGTCAAATTAATCACTACGTCGTTTGACCTCTGGGATAACAGTCTGGTTTCCTCCTATATAGGTAAATGACAAAGTAAGTAAAGATCCCTTTTCACGCCTTTAGGCGCATCGGGCCAATGGGAAGAGCGCCCATATTTTTACAGACCAATCGGCACCAGGTGGGTAATGTGATCAGCATTACGCCGGTTGTCTTTACTTCCCCATGACATACATGGTACCCATTTTAGACTGGGTCGACCTGCGACGCCCCATACCATGATAAAAATCCACGCAGTCAGCAGTGGGTTTCGATCGCGGTACGTCGGATTTACGAGTCGGACTCGCAACGCCTAAGCCACGGACGGCGCCTTAAATGACACGTTAGACTTAATTATCGGTGTTACTCCGGCTTTGTAGTTCGAAGGTTGTTTCACCGATGGCGTCTTCGGTTCAAGGGAGCAGTTTATATGGAGATCCCTGACGATCGTCTCTGTTATGGAGTTCATGTTCTATGCCTCGCTCTCATCAGTGGGTAAGCTGTTCTTCGGAGAGAGATTGAACCAGATGGATCTCCCCCTTCTTCATTGTGTTCTCTCAGCCAGTGGCTTTTAGATAAGAAAGCCACAGACTGTAAAGGCATTCGTCCAGCTTGGTTTCCACCGGAATATCAGATGGCCAGCGCTGTGACCTCTGCGAAAAATGGGACAAAACCCGTTCGAAGGATGTCAATGCTCTTCATTGTAACGTTAGCTTTAGTTATAGATAATCATGCAGTCGATGATCTTTGCTAGAACAGTGTAGTGTATAACATCGTTTATTTGTCATTTGCAGACATGGTCGGCTGCCCATCACGCATGCAAGCAACAGAGCATTTCATCGCTCCGGAGTTTATGGTGAGTACACTCTTCTCACTTAGCGTATATACAGCGTTCACCTTTTCATCTATTGCTTTTGAAGACATTGTAGCATTGCCGGCTGTCACGTGTTTTTCAAGAGTGGGTGTTTCTGTTTCTAAGAAGCATTGCCTGTTTTACTGCATATGTGAACGTAACATGTGTTGTAGGCAAAATACAGTTGGTGTGTGAAAGATGGGTGTTTGGGAGGGCTGAATGTAAAAACGGGCATGCTGCCTAATTTTGTGATCCTTTGAAGAAAAAAAAGTTCGTTCGTTGAATTCTTCTGTTCTGATGTGTCTTATTTTTCCTTTCTGTCTTTTGTCTGTCTGGAGTTTATGGGTCACACCCACTTTCCTCTCGTACTCTTCAGTATTGTTGCGCATCGCTAGTCGTCTATCGTGGTCAGGTTATTCAGCTGAAGGTTGCCTCTCCCGCTCTCTCTCTCTCTCTCTCTCTCTCTCTCTCTCTCTCTCTCTCTCTCTCTCTCTCTCTCTCTCTCTCTCTCTCTATCTATCTATATATATATATCTATATATATATATATATATATATATATATATATATATATATATATATATATATATATCTGTGTGTCTACATGTGTTTGTGTGTCTGTGTCAGTGTGTGAATGTATGTGCGAGCGTTTGTATGTGGGTATGTGTGTATGTGCGTTGCCTATGTTAGTATGTGTGTTCCTATGTATCTATCTTTGTGTGTATGTATGTGGGTGTGTGTTCGTATGTATGTATTATGTGGGTGTTTGTGTGTAAGCGAATGAGTGGGCGTATGTAGGTGTGTGTGTGTGTAAGCGCGTGAGAGCGCATAAGTCTCTTACTACTCACGCTTTTGTGTTTGCTTTCTTGATATTCATAAATATGTACATTATTATTTGAACATAAAACGCTTCATTGATAAAATACAATTGCTGTGTGAAAGATCTGTGTTTCGGAGGGCTGAATGTAAGACTAGCCTGCACGCCTACTTTGTGACCCCTTGAAACAAGTTTTCTCTCTCTCTCTCTCTCTCTCTCTCTCTCTCTCTCTCTCTCTCTCTCTCTCTCTCTCTCTCTCTCTCTCCTCTCTTTCTTTCTCTCTTTCTTTCTCTCCTCTCTTTCTTTCTCTCACACACGCGCACACACACACACACACACACACACACACACACACACACCCTGTCTTGACACTAATGTTGTGTTATGCTAAGTCTATTGTCTGAAATCTGACCCACACCCAGTCTGGTTTGTCTTATACCTGATCTAGTTTATACCTACTGAACCGTATAGTGCTAATACTCCCTTTATCTCTTATTCCCCTGCTGCCCTTTGAGTCCTAATGTTGCTCCTTATAACATTGCGTCAAGACATGTGTCTGTATTAACATCATCATTAAGTGCCATACCGACTGGCGTGAGCAATCATGCCTCTGCACAACGTAAGATCTTTAGCAGCATCTAACTAGTTCATGTGCTGATACCTACCATTCCGTGCCGCGACGAAAAGGCTGTCAAGAATCTTCACGCTTTGTCTTCCTCTGCCTCTCTTGTCACAAGTCTCTTCAGTGGTCACAAGGTCCGGTTTCTTTCCTTTCTTATCAAGATGTGGCTTTTCTCCAAAAAACCGTCCCAAACTATCGAGGCCGAAAATATACCCCTAAAAGGGCCTCAGTCACATGTCAATTGCCGACTTCCGGCGACTACCCCCACTGTCGAGAGTAAAAGAGATGGCTGGGACTCACGAGCAAATAAAATGAAGGAAGCTGCAGGAGATGCGGTAGCTGCTGCTCGTGAGTCCCAGCCATCTAGTTTAGCCCCGCACCGCGCGTCTGTGTTGCCTGCATGTCATGTCTGGCCAGTCTGTCTGTCGCAGCGCGCTGCATGTATGCCATATGTAGTGTTGAATGTCTCTCCAACGTGTCTGTCCTGTCTTGCAGCCAGTCTATTTTAGTCCGTTTGTGTTGTTCCTGTCTTTGTCACTGTCTTACACGTGTGTCTTATCTTGCAGCCAGTCTATTTTAGTCCGTTTGTGTTGTTCCTGTCTTTGTCACTGTCTTACCCGTGTGTCTTATCTTGCAGCCAGTCTATTTTAGTCCGTTTGTGTTGTTTCCGTCTTTGTCACTGTCTTACCCGTCCTGTCTTGCTGTTTTAGCATTTAATATTTCTACACCACGGCGGCTTCCAGGGTACATAAAGGCGACTTTTCCCCTCAATTTTAAAAAAAAAATGCCCGCTATTGTCTCTTTGAGCCAGAATCTCATTTCCCGTCGAAGTGAACAGTGATTGTTGACATCCGGCATTCTCCTTCGAGTGTTACATCATTTTGTAGTGTGTGAAATACTAGTTGCCTCGTTTTTGTTTTGCAAATTTAATTTTTTTTTTTTTTTGCCTGCTTAGGTTCTTTGTTGATTGTTGAATTGTTGAGCGTTTACGGATTTAGTTCACACCCCGCCCCCGCCACACCCCCTTTTTTTTCTTGTAATGTTTGTGCGTTTAATCTTTCAAGTCGCTTTCTTTTCTCAGTTACCTGTCTCACTACCCTGTCCCGTATCAGTGTGTCTAGAAATTATTGACTACACCCAACAACAACAAAAAACTGCAGACAAATTACCAGCTTTAGCCGCTAGATAACATCTGCAATTCTAATGAACGATTGTCTTGAAGTCTGGCTTGTTCAGCCATGTTGTATGACAAATCCAGCCTTAATGTGGGCGACAATTAGAAACAGCTTTTTGCATGTTCATCTGGTACCTTTGCTTGCTTTCACACCGTAAATAATCGCTGGTTTTTGTGTTTGTTTCGTTTGGGCATGGATCTGTCGTGTTACGGTTACAAGGTGTCGTGTGTTGCAGTATTTCTCTGTGTAATTTGTGCCAGTACAGGGACACCTGTACAGATAAAACGGGGGTTGAGGGGGGGGGGGGGGGAGAGACAGTCTAGGGGCTGGGGCGCTCAGTAATCATTAGAGGTGCATTATTATTATGCGTTGAATAATATATTTGAAATAATATGAAATTGGGATGAGAATGTATGTACTTTTTGTAAGGCGGAAACGGGGCGGGGCAATAAGCCTTCTCGCAGATTTTCTAGTTGGGTTAGGGTGTGTGAGAGTGGAAGTGGATCGGCCCACGCCTTACATGTCGTAAGGCACTGGGCCCCAGGCGACCTTTCCCCCCTCCTCCCTACGGTTTCAGCGCCCCTGTGCCAGTCAATAAATAACGGGAGCTGAAGCAGTCTGGCCGAGTCTGATGATGGCCACAGCTGTTACCCACTGTCGGCCTTTGATCTTGATGCTTATGGTAATTACCAGTGTTGTCTTGCAGGTGGTTGAGCTTGACAGGGGGCGGCTTTTCTCGACCGGGGCGCCTAAAGGGGCTGCTGGTGACCACTAGGCGCGCTTAAAAGGGCGTCAAGACCACCAGGGGCGCATAAAGGGGCTGCTATTGACCACCAGGGGCGTTTTTTAACCATCAGGGGCGTTTTTTTTACCACCAGATGCGTTTTCTAACCACCAGGGGCGTTAATTAACTACCAGAGGCGTTTATTGACAATAAGGGGCAATAAGTGACCGTCTCGGTTTTTTTTATTGACCATCATGAGCGTCTAGTGACCACCAGGTGCGCCTAAAGGTGCTGCTAGTGACGACCAGGGGGCGTTTATTGACCATCAGGAAAAGATATAAAACCGAACGAAAAGAATATCAGCAAGCTTCACGATATATTAAACACAAACAAAGCGTGAACATTGCGGCTGTGGAGCCCTCATCAGTACATACATTAATCAAACATACCACACATACCACAGAAAATCACTTAGCTCAGTATCGTGAAGCAGCCAGGTTGTCAGTAGACTAACGAGGCACGTGAGACACGAGAATAAACACGCTAGGGGCCACCCTGAGTGTCGTCACTGAAGGGGTGAAAATGGCTACATTTGAACATAAATATGGGGGGTCCGCATCGGCTACTATCTGATGCGTGCGATCGGGGGATGTAGTATGTCGCCCAATTTCCTTGGCACACAGTACATGCTGTTGGTGATTATGCTGAAGTAAAGGACAGTCAAGCCAACAAAAGCACCACTATATTCCAGGCAGGTGTGCCAAACTAATGTCCTGTGGTAACCATTACCATGGTCTACGAGTACTGTAACAGTCCATGCATCCAGGGGACTCCCAAGATTCACACACGATCACACAGACCGACTGGAAGCTACTGACCGAAGTACAACGCACTTCTGCCAGTAGCGGTCAGTTACACGTGGATCTCACATTCCCTACACAACTGGGGGAGTTTGCAGTCACCCATAAACATCAAGCAACCTCTGTTTCACAACTTGAAGTAGCTTAAATGTTTACATTCACAACCACGTCAACACAACAAGGAACGCCTGTGTGTACCAAGCCCCACCAAGCCCTGGCTTCATTAACTCTCTATAACCCACAGTGATTTCGCAGACAACACTGCCTGACCTTGCTACGCTACTGATCTCACTATCTTCTTTTTCAAATCACCGAGGATACAGGCGAGTGTCCAGATATTTATCTTGTTTTACTGATCACTCAATATGAATGTCCTTTTGCAGAACATTATTCATCGTTGACTTATGTTCTCATCAGTTTAAATATATCAGTTTACAACAGCCTTTTGCTTTAGGTTGGCGCCCTGTCCCCCGCCATTGTTTCACACTTGAGTATGGCATTTGGTGTGTGAAATTGATACACTGTATGCATTATTCATAGTGTTTATATCCAGGCATTTTGGTGTGTGGGGGGGGGGGGGGGGGGGTGTCCATCAGCCATTTGTTTACAGGGGCAGACCTGAGACAGATGCTTAGTCCGACAAGGAATTGGCAGCAACCGCTGTAAAGGTGTTAAATCGTGTATAGATGCACAGTTGGTTTTAGAATTTAACGTGGGGGAAGCATAGCAGGGGTGCCATACCTGGAGTTCAGAAGCATTGAGCGCTCCCCCCCCCCACCCCTAATTTTTTCAGGTGTCTCCAACCCCGCGTCAACACGTATAGAGGTTTTATTTTTGAAGTACTTGTTTAAGCATTTCGAATATTACATTTTATTGCCATTCAGCATATGAAAACGATGGCGGGGATAATTATTATTATTACGCATTTAAACAAGGCGTGCCCATTGAGATCCCGTCCAGACAATGTTCAGGGGCTGCTTGTCTACTGCCCCCACCTCCCCAACATTTGTTTTTTTGTGTTGGCGCCCCTGGGTGAGAATGAATGGTTAGTTGGTTGGTTGGCAGACAGATAGCTAAGTAGGTTAATGTGTAGATGGCCACAGGGTAGGGGCGGGGACTATTTGCTACATTCATGGTAACTGCTTAGCTTTTGATTTGCCACGCCTCGTTTGAAGATGCTACAACAGTGTCCTGAATTTGCTCAACTCTACCGTCTCTTACAGCACAGTTCTGGGTCAAGTTGTTTTCTATATCTCTCTTTTTTTTTCTTTGTACCTCTCTCTCTGTACCTCTCTCTCTCTCTCTGTACCTCTCTCTCTCTCTGTACCCCTCTCTCTCTCTGTACCCCTCTCTCTCTCTGTACCTCTCTCTCTCTCTGTACCTCTCTCTCTCTCTGTACCTCTGTCTCTCTCTGTACCCCTCTCTCTCTGTGTACCTCTCTCTCTCTCTGTACCTCTCTCTCTCTCTGTACCTCTCTCTCTGTACCTCTCTCTCTCTGTACCTCTCTCTCTCTCTGTACCTCTCTCTCTCTGTACCTCTCTCTCTGTACCTTTCTCTCTGTACCTCTCTCTATGTACCTCTCTCTCTCTCTGTACCTCTCTCTCTCTCTGTACCTCTCTCTCTCTCTCTGTACCTCTCTCTCTCTGTACCTCTCTCTCTCTGTACCTCTCTCTCTCTCTGTACCTTTCTCTCTGTACCTCTCTCTCTCTGTACCTCTGTCTCTCTCTGTACCCCTCTCTCTCTCTCTGTACCTCTCTCTCTCTGTACCTCTCTCTCTGTACCTCTCTCTCTCTCTGTACCTCTCTCTCTCTGTACCTCTCTCTCTCTCTGTACCTCTCTCTCTCTGTACCTCTCTCTCTCTGTACCTCTCTCTCTCTGTACCCCTCTCTCTCTCTGTACCTCTCTCTCTGTACCTCTCTCTCTACCTCTCTCTCTCTGTACCTCTGTCTCTCTCTGTACCCCTCTCTCTCTCTCTCTGTACCTCTCTCTCTGTACCTCTCTCTCTCTGTACCTCTGTCTCTCTCTGTACCCCTCTCTCTCTCTCTCTGTACCTCTCTCTCTCTCTACCTCTCTCTCTCTCTCTGTACCTCTCTCTCTCTTTCTGTACCTCTCTCTCTCTCTCTCTGTACCTCTCTCTCTCTGTACCTTTCTCTCTGTACCTCTCTCTATATACCTCTCTCTCTCTGTACCTTTCTCTCTGTGCCTCTCTCTCTCTCTGTACCTCTCTCTCTCTCTCTGTACCTCTCTCTCTCTGTACCTCTCTCTCTCTCTGTACCTCTCTCTCTCTGTTCCTCTCTCTCTTGTACCTCTCTCTGTCTCTTGTACCTCTCTCTTTACCTTTCTGACTCTTCATATATCTCTCTACTGTCTCTCTCTCAATTTGTCGACTATCTCCTCTCCCTATTTACCTTTCTCCCTGTATCTCTCTCTCTCTTTCTCTCTCTCTCTCTCCGTCTTTCTCTGTACATCTCTCTCGTGCTTCTGCTTTTCCCTTCTACTCTTCAATTTCCTTCTTCTGCTACCTTTGTCTCTCCCCCCATATTTTTTAAAATTGTGTTTCTTCTCTTTTAATTTTCTTCTGCTGGTTTTATTTTTGTGTCACTTTCTTCCATTTCTTTTCATTCCTAATTCTCACGCTGCTGTATTTATCATCCATGCTTTTGTATTTTTTCTTTAAATGTATACTGTGCATTTTGATGTATGAAGATAATATGCTTGATATATATAAAATACAATTTCCATATGAAAAGTGAATGCTTAGAGGGGCCCGCATGCCCAATGTAAAACTTGGGGGGGGGGGGGGGGGGGGGGGGGGGGTAGAAATAAAGTTTGTTATTCATTCCTTCTTTGTTCCTGCACTTTCATTTCTTCTGAATGCTCCTCACCATTTGTATTTTCCTCCTTTTTCCTGCATTATTTTTCTCTTTCTCCTCAATCATTCTTGTTTCTTCTTCCTCTTGTTCTTCAGGTCTTGTGTTTTTGTTTTTTGTCCTCCTTTTTAATCTCTTTCTAATTGTTTTTCCACCGCCCCATTCTGTATTTATTCCTCTGTTTTTATCTGCATGTTTCTCCTCTTCTCTTCATAGTAAAACTTTGTTAATATGAAGTCCCTTTAAAACGAGCACAAACAGTCAACATGAACAGACTCTGCAGATATGAATTGGCATACATTTTTTAACACAAACTCTTTTTGTATCCCTTGCAATTCTTGTTAACTCTGTTTTACTCGATTTCAGTAATATTATAATCATGTTTTTGATTCTCTCCATGCCTTTACCAGTGTCTATGGCAACATTGGAACTGTCATAACAAAACATTTTGCCATCCTTTACACACAAAAACTTATATAACACTACATGAATGCACTCTGATCACCTTTGACATTTGACATGCCATCTCTGAGTGTGGTCTGTTTCCCAGGCACAGATGAGATCCGGACAGTGGTGGCCCCAAACTTTGCCGAGTCAGTCACTGAAGGGGACATCAAGTGGGAGAAAGGTAAGTTGAACATGTGAATAGATATCCAACTGCCATAGATAGGAAGTAAAGGTGGCCGGCGTGATGTTGACCATATCACCCATTTGGGGCTGATTGATCTATAAAAGTATGGGTCAAGCCTCGTATGCTTGATGTAACACTGGCGTGTAAAGGGACCTTCACTTTCTAGATGGTCACTCTGTGCCCGGCAGACCGGCACATGATGGTTTAGTATTCCTTTTAGGACCCCTTTCCACTATTGGCTTATCGGGTATGTTTGCCACATCCATAATTTTATAGTCCTGTTTTGGATATTCCGCTTTGATTCTTCTGCTTCTTCTTCTTCTTAGGAGTTCACCAGCTAATAATTCTGGCAGAAAGTCCTGGTTGTTCATCCACTCCACAACTTTGGCCTTGTTCCATAACTTGAGTGTTGCATGATCATCCATTCTACAGATGTGTGTTATCTGTGTGCAGTAGATGGTTCCTTGCCTCTCAAGCACAGTAATTGTGACTTCAGAAAACATCAAGTCTGTATATGTTGTCCAGGCTGCCGGTTGTGAATCTGTTTCTGAGATGACCGCTGAAAGGTGTAGATACGTCTTGACGAGTATGGGCCCTGGTCTCTGGTGCACCACTACGTATGGTTGAACACCTGCGCACTCCACAAGCAGGGAACAGTTGGTTAGTTAGTTAATTGACAGGTCATCCCCACTGTACATTAAAACATGCAGTCCATAAGTACTCGGTCCACTTCCTCATAATCAGATCCAAGGGCGACCCAGGGTTGTTTGCGAAGACAACATCCAACAGTCCCTGACTGACATAGGAAAAATTAAACAAGGCCAAAAAGAGAACTGCAGACAGAGAAGTATGGCTGTCTGGCAAACCTCTACACCCCAAGATAGAAAAGGATTGACTAAGTAAAGTCTCTTTCTCAGTAAATTCCACGGCATATAACAGCTGATGACATGGTTTGTTATTCTTCTTTGACTTTCTGTATAGTGCTGTAGTCTGGCCTCACCCCTTTTGGCATGTGCTGTTGCAATCTAGTCATGGTTGCAAATTTAGAGTCATCACTTGATTGCATACCTGGGATTGATTTAAGTAACACATATTTTGCTCAGGTGAGGGAGTAATTAGCCTGGCATAGAAACTTCTAGACAACCACTAGGTGTCGCCAGTTATAAGATAAAGCAGATGGTGCTATATTGGACGCATCCTGAGAAGAGGTCAGCAGAGAATCACCAGGCACTGAAATGGGAAATACATGGATTGAAGAAACAGTGATGTCCACGAGAAACCCGACAATGAACATTGATAGAGGTCAAAGATGCTTAACTGGATTCTGTCCTTGATATCGAAAGTATTGCACTTTATAGAAAGAAATGGAGGCTTTCCCTGTGAGCCCTGTGTAGCATATAGTGGTACAAGAGGATGATGATGATCATAGGAAAAAGTGTTTCTTTTTCCTTTGAAATTTGTTTGTCTTATTAAACACATTTTTAACATTTCTGCAGCTGTGGGAGACCGGGTGGAAGTCGATGAGGTGGTTGCAGAGATAGAAACAGACAAGGTGAGTTTCACTGTGATATCAGCTAGCTTGTGTCAGTTGATCAATAGATTTGTCCTCTCTGGGCTGCCTGCCTACCGTTTAACATACCATCCTGAGATTGAAAAAGCTTAGTCTGAATAATAGACCGATAAAGCAGATCCCAGGTACCCTGTTCAACCTCCACAGTTCTAGTCAGGCCACATGAATCAGCTGCAGTGGTGTCCTGTGTGGGTAAGGATGAGCTAGCTTGCACTGTGTACCTTGGGCTGGGTCTGGTTTATCACTGGCTCATCAGTTTCCTTAATTGTTGTGTATCTTGACTGTGGGTGCATATGTTTCTTATTTCACTTCCTACTCCTTCCTCTTGCTTCTTTTTTTTTCTCTTGTTCTTCTTTGTTACTTGATGACCATGTCCTTAATTGGCTTGTCTTAAAGAGATCAATTAACCCTAACCCTAACAGACCTGAGGCCCTCCACCTAACTGTCCCCTATACCTGAGCTCCTGGGCATCAACACGAAAAAAAACCAAAATGATATATAAAAAAAAATATTAGTTACATGCAAACAAATGGTTAGAATAAGATGAAACTTGGAGACATTTGAGAAAAAAAGGTTTACCTTTCATCTAGGGCCAATATTCCACCTTTGTGTGCCAGTCCACCCAGCAAGTTCGGCCTTGTTTCACAAAGTGAGTACCAGATGTTGCTGTTTGAGGGACATGCCCCATTCTTTTACTGTCGATCTACTTTTAAATCTGATTTTTAAGATCCTCCTCATCACTCGAGCTCACACTGACTGTCGCTTCAACTAGGAACGGATTCTTCATGAAATTCTGACACTCTCAGAGTCTGAATCAACCAAAGTATCGATCACCTGTTAGACTGTAAAAAGCCTAGACCTACTTCACTTTTCTGTTGAAGTGCCTGGTTCATCAGCCGCTCGTTTCATTGTGAATGTTCCAAATTTTTTCACATTAAACCACACAGAGTAAGTCCAAACACACTTGGGAGCAGTTTGCAATGACTAACCAGGAGGTCTGACCACGATTGGCTAGTTATTTTTAGTTAATGATGCATTGTTTTCAGGTGGTACACAAAGTACCGACAATGAGGTATACCGGTTTAGCGGTAGATTAGGAAATTACCGCAGTAGTGACACATCGGTCTAGTAGAGTTAAGGGTTTGCTGAAATTTTTTTTTAATCAAAAGGTGATAAAATCACAGCCTAGGTGTAAACCACAACACAGTGTGCTAACCACCATTTTAACCCTCTTGCGCCAGGTAACCTAACAAACTAAGTAGGTCACGGCCACATTGGAATTCCAGAAAAAAAATCCATCAAAACAAACAATTTAACACAGGTGTCTAATACATAGGGGCTTTTGAGGTGAAATGCTATAGAAAGATTCTCAGAATATCTTGGACAAAGAAGATGAGAAATATTGACATCTTAAAAGATCTGAACATCAAGGAGGATTGGCTAATAAACAACATCCTTTCTCGAAAGCTGAAATATTTTGGTCATATCAAGCACCACAATGGATTGGAAAAAAATTATAGCACAAGGCATGGTACCAGGAAAGAGGGGCAGGGGCCGACCGACACGAAGATGGGCACAGGATATAACTTACTCCTTGAGTGTGAAAGTTCGTGAGGCGGGAGAACTGGCAAGAGACCGAGTTTCTTACAGGCAAACTGTGATGAGAGCGACGTTCTGCAAAGGACCTGCTACATGATGATGATGATGACTAATACATTTGTTACAGATTAATCTTCATATTTCCCGAAATATATACAGATTTTTTGAAGGAGTAATCAGTAAACTGACCAGGAGAAGCATTGAATGGAATACAGATATATGTATCTAGAGATTCATATAGTGACCTTCCACCTCTATCACTGTTGCTTATGGGAAGATCTATGTCAACCTAGCTTTAAAAAGTTAACTGGCTCAAAGGACCCGTCCCCAATATTGTGTTTAGTTAATGTATTCATATGCTTGTCTCCTAAACTTTAGCACAAGTGTGAGCTCGGCTAAAAGCAATCAGTACATGTTTCGTAAACAGGTCACTTTTGGCACATTGGAAAAGTGATATTTACGGAGAACTGGACCAGCTGGAAAGTGTCGGTTCTTCAGCTTCTGGGGCAAAAGGGTTATGGGCAGATGCAAAAGAAGGGGAAAGACCAAATGCATGTGACCAGTTAGGACGAGCCTGTGTTTGTTTCTGTTGCAGACAAACATGCCAGTGCACGCTCCCGCTGCTGGTGTCATTGAAGAGCTGCTGGTCAAGGATGGGGAGACAGTGACCGCTGGCAAGAACCTGTTCAAGCTTCGAGTCGGAGGTAGGTCTGGGAGTCTCACCATTTGCTTGGCAGTTTTACTGGTCTAGGTTTGGACTGTTTGTGGTTGTAGAATGTGGTTTTTCTCGGTTCTGGGATGTATGTTTTTCTTATCAATGTCTTAAATGGTATTTGTCTTAGTAAACTCTCTTTTATTTTCTCTATCTCCACTGCAGTCGGGTAGCCATAATATATATATATATATATATATATATATATATATATATATATATATATATATATATATATATATATATATATATATATATATATATATATATATATATATATATATATATATATATATATATAAGAAGATTAAATATTTGGACCACATCAGGCACAGCAGATTGGAAAAAAATAATAGCTGAAGGCATGGTACCAGGAAAGAGAGGCAGGTGTTGACCAGCACAAAGATGAGCAAGTGACTCCTGTGGATATGAACATGCATGAGGCCGGAGAGCTGGCCAGAGACCCATTTTCTTTCAGACAGGCCCTGATGAGAGTGGTGGTCTAGAAAGGAACTGCTACATGATGATGATAGTTGTGTGTGTGTGTGTGTGTTAGCACCTATGCAACATGTCTGTGTATAATTTGTTTTAATATATTCCAACAGCTAGTGCAGGAGCTCCTGCTAAGAAAGAAGCAGTCCCAAAGACAGAAGCAACCCCTAAAACTGAAGCAACTCAGCCTCCTCCACCACCACCACCAGCAACACCACGTCCAGCTTCAACCTCAGGACCTATCCCAGATATGGCCCCACCCCCTGCCAAGCCCCCTGCTATACCAGTGACTTCGACCCCAACATCGGCAGTCAAGCCAAAACCAGCACCAGCACCATCTGGTGCCGCGCCGGCGGGAATCTCTGGGAGCCGCACAGAACAAAGGGTAGGTGTCTTCTGTGGACATGATTGTCCGTGGGTTTCACAGCCAGTGTCTTTTAATGCATTCCTCCTCTTCGTGCTCCTCTACGATACGTTTTCTTCTTTTTGGCATGATTTGTAATCTTCTGAACCAGTTTCTTCTTATGATTCTTCTCCTCCTCCTTCACCTTCGCCTTTTCTTTTTCTTCATTATTTTTGGATTTCATAATATATGGGCCTCATAACCAGTGTCTTGTTGTCCATGATAAGTCTTTTGTCTAAAGCAACTCAATATCCACTTCATTCAGCGTTTATTGAACAACTACCATTGTCTTCTCATCCATGTGTAGGTAAAAATGAATCGTATGCGCCTGAGGATAGCTCAACGTCTGAAAGAAGCACAGAACACTTGTGCCATGCTGACAACCTTCAATGAGATTGATATGAGGTAATGATTTTGTTTCGATGAGGTAATGGTTTTGTTTTGATGAGGTAATGATTTTGTTTCGATGAGGTAATGGTTTTGTTTCGATGAGGTAATGATTTTGTTTTGATGAGGTAATGGTTTTGTTTCGATGAGGTAATGATTTTGTTTTGATGAGGTAATGGTTTTGTTTCGATGAGGTAATGGTTTTGTTTCGATGAGGTAATGGTTTTCTTTCGATGAGGTAATGGTTTTGTTTCAATGAGGTAATGGTCTTGTTTCGATGAGGTAATGGTTTTGTGCGGAAAGGTATGAGGTAATAGGTTTTTATGAAGTGTTAGGTGAGGATTTTATGTGAAAAGGTATGATTTGTTGATTTTGTGCGTGAAGATATGTAAGGTGAGAGTGTTGTGTGTGGTGAGATATTGGGAGAGGGTTTTTTTTTATGTGAAGATATGTGAGATGAGGGTGTTATGTATGAGATGTGAGGTGGGGGTTTTTTTTTGGTCTTAAGACATACAAGGTAAGGTTTTTTCTAAAGGGATAGGAGATTAAAGTTTTATTTGAAGAGGTTTAAAAGAAAAAAAACTAGAGTTGGAAGAAAAGTTTTTATGTGAATTTGCAATAATAATCCTGTCCTTTCCACTTCTGTGGCTTAGGCGTTGCCAACGCGATTCATAATGCTGGGTTCGATCCCAGCTGTGAACGCTTTGTCTTGCTTTGATTTCGACAGTGGTACTGAGAACTGACCATTCAGGAAGCAGTGGCAAACTACTGAACGTAAAAATTTGCCTAGAAAAACCGCAACAGCCAAAAAATACTGGGGTTGGCTCTGCAGCGTCCTGTAAAGGATACGCAAACCTCTGTCTACTTTTTTAAACTTGCACAAGCAGTTGTGCAGTACCTGTCAAGCAGTTGTACAGTACCTGTCAAGCAGTTGTGCAGTACCTGTCATGCAGTTGTGCAGTACCTGTCAAGCAGTTGTACAGTACCTGTCATGCAGTTGTGCAGTACCTGTCATGCAGTTGTGCAGTACCTGTCATGCAGTCGTACAGTACCTGTCATGCAGTTGTGCAGTACCTGTCATGCAGTTGTACAGTACCTGTCATGCAGTTGTGCAGTACCTGTCATGCAGTTGTGCAGTACCTGTCATGCAGTTGTGCAGTACCTGTCATGCAGTTGTGCAGTACCTGTCATGCAGTTGTGCAGTACCTGTCATGCAGTTGTGCAGTACCTGTCACGCAGTTGTGCAGTACCTGTCACGCAGTTGTGCAGTACCTGTCATGCAGTTGTGCAGTACCTGTCATGCAGTTGTGCAGTACCTGTCACGCAGTTGTGCAGTACCTGTCAAGCAGTTGTGCAGTACCTGTCAAACAGTTGTGCAGTACCTGTCAAGCAGTTGTACAGTACCTGTCAAGCAGTTGTACAGTACCTGTCATGCAGTTGTACAGTACCTGTCAAACAGTTGTGCAGTACCTGTCATGCAGTTGTGCAGTACCTGTCATGCAGTTGTGCAGTACCTGTCATGCAGTTGTGCAGTACCTGTCATGCAGTTGTGCAGTACCTGTCAAGCAGTTGTGCAGTACCTGTCAAGCAGTTGTGCAGTACCTGTCAATTAGTTGTGCAGTATCTGTCAATTAGTTGTGCAGTATCTGCTAATTTTTATTATATAAAATTGCATTATCTCTAAATTTTCAGTAACAGTTGCATAATTTCTACATTATCTGCCAATTGTTGAAAACAAAGCAGTAGCTATCCTGCATTAATTGCCAGTTTTTAAAACTAACTTACAGCAGCAATCCTGCAATTATTGCCAGTTTGTAACATTAATTTGCAGCAACGTCATGGAGATGAGAACTCTCTATAAGGATCCATTCTTGAAGAAGTACAACCTGAAACTGGGTTTTATGTCCGCTTTCGTGAAGGCTGCAGCCTTTGCACTTGCTGACCAGCCAGTGGTCAATGCGGTCATTGATGATACAGATATTGTCTACAGGGACTATGTTGACATCAGTGTGGCCGTGGCCACCCCAAAGGTAAGCAGATGAACTGTCTTGTGTGGCTGTGTGAGGGTTTTTTGTGTTGTTTGAAGCTGCAATAGTTGTCTTGATTGTAATGTGCTCATGTCTTTTATTGTAAGGGGCTAGTGTTTTGGATTGGGGGGGGGCATAGTGTCTTTCATTTTAAGGGCTAGTGTTTTGGATTCGGGGGGGGGGGGGGGGGGGGGCATAGTGTCTTGGGCTTTAGTGGGCTGGTGTCTTGGATTGTAGGGGGCTGTGGCTGGTGTCTTGGATTGTAGGGGGCTGTGGCTGGTGTCTTGGATTGTAGGGGGCTGAGGCTAGTGTCTTGGATTGTAGGGGACTGAGGCTGGTCTCTTGGATTGTAGGGGGCTGTGGCTGGTGTCTTGGATTGTAGGGGGCTGTGGCTGGTGTCTTGGATTGTAGGGGGCTGTGGCTGGTGTCTTGGATTGTAGGGGGCTGTGGCTGGTGTCTTGGATTGTAGGGGGCTGTGGCTGGTGTCTTGGATTGTAGGGGACCGAAGCTGGTGACTTGGATTGTAGGGGGCTGGTCTCTTGGATTGTAGGGGGCTTGTGTCTTGGATTGTAGGGGGCTGTGGCTGGTGTCTTGAATTGTAGGGGACCGAAGCTGGTGACTTGGATTGCTGGTGGCTGGTCTCTTGGATTGTAGGGGCTGGTCTCTTGGATTGTAGGGGGCTGGTCTCTTGGATTGCTGGTGGCTGGTCTCTTGGATTGTAGGGGCTGGTCTCTTGGATTGTAGGGGGCTGGTGTCTTGGATTGTCGGGGGCTGATGTCTTGGATTGTAGGGGCTGGTGTCTTAGATTGCTGGTGGCTGGTCTCTTGGATTGTAGGGGCTGGTGTCTTGGATTGTAGGGGGCTAGTGTCTTGGATTGCTGGTGGCTGGTCTCTTGGATTGTAGGGGCTGGTCTCTTGGATTGTAGGGGGCTGGTGTCTTGGATTGTAGGGGGCTGGTCTCTTGGATTGTAATGGTCTGGTGTCTTGGATTGTAGGTGGCTGGTGTCTTGGATTGTAGGGGGCTGGTCTCTTGGATTGTAGGGGGCTGGTGACTTTGATTGTAGGGGGCTGGTGTCTTGGATTGTAGAGGGCTGGTGCCTTGGATTGCAGAGGGCTGTTGTCTTGGATTGTAGTGGGCTGGTGTCTAGGATTGTAGGTGGCTGGTGTCTTGGATTGTAGATGGCTGGTGTTTAGGATTGTAGGTGGCTGGTGTCTAGGATTTTAGGTGGCTGGTCTCTTGGATTGTAGGTGGCTGGTCTCTTGGATTGTAGGTGGCTGGTATCTTGGATTGTAGGTGGCTGGTGTCTTGGATTGTAGATGGCTGGTGTCTTGGATTGTAGATGGCTGGTGTCTTGGATTGTAGATGGCTGGTGTCTAGGATTGTAGGTGGCTGGTCTCTTGGATTGTAGGTGGCTGGTATCTTAGCATTGTGGGTGCTGGTGTCTTGGATTGAGGGGAGGGGCGCTAATGTCTTGAATTGTAGTTTGCCAGTGTCTTGGATTGTAGTGAGTAAGTATCTTGGATTGTAGTAGTGTGCCAATGTCTAGATTTTAAGAGGCTGGTGTTTTTGGTAGGTGAGCTGGTGTCTTTGATTGTTGGGTGCTAGTGTCTTTGATTGTAGTGGGCCAGTGACTTGGATTGTATTGAGTCGGTGTCTTGGATTGTAGTAATGTGCCAGTGTCTTGATTTTAAGGGGCTGGTGCTTTTGGTGGATGGGAGGAGGGGAGCTGGTGTCTTCGATTGTTGGGAGCCGGTGTCTTGGATTGTAGTGGGCCGGTCACCTTTTATGACATGCTTCTCAAGGAGCAGTGAGCCTAACAATTTTTCTGCCAGAATGGGGCCAGCGGAACCCTAGAAGGAACAACTTGGTTATATCTGGTATTGCTTGGTCCTGTGTTCCCAGGGGCTGGTGGTTCCTGTGATCCGTAATGTGGAGACCATGAACTATGCAGACATTGAGAAAACCATTGCGGATCTGGGCGAGAGGGTAAGTGTGTTGTGGTGTGACTGTTGTATTCTTCTAACAGTTTTTTTTAATTGATGTCAGAGCAACTGGTAGCAGAGTGGTTCTTATTCTTTATCTTATGTCCAGTTAAGCATAGCCTTCAACCAAGTTGTCATATCCTTTGTTATAGTATATGACTCCCCTGCCCAGCCCCATACACAGTATGTTCCGCCTTATTTTCCAATTCTCTTTGTGGTCCGCCCCCACCTTTAGTTTGTTGTTATCCCTTTTACCTTGCCAGTTCCAGTATAAAGACATTCTGATTATATTGTTATCAGACTAGTTGTGTCCTGTTAAAGGTTGATGTCCAGTCTAAGTTAGAGGACTTTTAAACCCAGTTAACCTGACATCAAAGAATCTGTACCTCTGTGACACTGTCTTTCTGTGAGACATATGGCATATTTTAAGACATCTTGGCATTTATTAAAGGCAACTTGGCATTTCTTTGAAACAGCTTATCAGTACTGTGAATTTGTAGCATATCTTTTAAACATCCTGGCATTTCTGAGACATTATGGCATTAGTATGTGACGTTATGGCATTTCTGTGTGACGTTTATACGACATCTTGGCATTTCTTTAGACTTCTGGGTGTTTCTGTGAGACATCACTGGAGTCTTATGACATGTTATTTATGGTAGACATCATTACATTCTAGGTAAGACCCAACTGCAGTTGTGTCAAAGAGAAATAGTCTCATTAATGGGAAACATCACTGCAGTTCTATAACAGTAACAGTATTACTGTGATATTTCACAGTATTTATATGATGCCCATAAAGGTGTCTGGTTGAGACTTAAAAGGTACAGCTGCATACTGAATCTGTAGACATTTCAATTGAAAGTGAGCAGCAAACATGTGTAAAGTTACGTAAGCACACAATGAGGATTAGTTGCTGTGGGGCAGGGCAGTTCAGCTAAGTTTACTTGGGGACCAAATTGTGAGGAAATGGGTCATCGCGGCCTAAGGCCTGAGGCCCCAGCTTAGAAAAGATCATTAATACAATACAATTATCGATCATCCACAGGCCATTTGCTAGGCTGGATTTTGCCTGCAGATCACCTGTTTAATGACCGTGGTGTAGGGTGCGACTGTCTTTTGGTTGTTGTAGTTGAAAGTGATAGACACGTATAAAGTGCTGAGTGAGAAACACATGATGATTAAATGGCGCGGGACATGGCTTTTCGACTGAGATTACTGGGTTCACCAGAATGTTGAAAATGAGGATCATCAAGGTCCAAAGACTCCAACCCCAGCATAAAAAAGATCATTAATACAGTGCAATTGGCAGTGATCCGTGGGCCACTTGCCAGGCCTCTGCAGGCCAGACTCATCCTGCGGGCCGCCAGATGAATAGCCCTGACATAGGGTGTTACTGGATCTATGAAATGTTTCTATTGCAAGTGAACGGTACACACTTATAAAGGGTTTAGTGCAAGCCATTACTGGATCTATGAAATGTTTCTATCGCAAGTGAACGGTAGACACTTATAAAGGGATTGAGTGCAAGCCACGACGTGATGATTTAGTGGCGTAGAATATTATTGTATCTGTTAATTGTTTCTTCTAGGCGAGGGCTGGAACTCTGGCCATTGAAGACATGGATGGTGGAACTTTCACCATCAGTAATGGGGGAGTATTTGGCTCTATGTTTGGTACCCCCATCATCAACCCGCCTCAGTCAGCAATACTGGGCATGCACGCCATCTTTGACAGGCCAGTGGCAATTAAAGGACAGGTCAGTACTCAGCCGACCTGACCCTTTCCCCCCCCCCCCCCCCCCCCGTCCTCCTTTTTTTTCTCCCCTCTGTCTCTCATTCTTTTTTTTGTTCCCCTCTCATATTTCTTTCTGACTCTCAAACTGATTCTCTCACACACTTCACTTTTTTTTTTTTTTTTTTTGCTTTCTCTGTCATTCTCCCATCACCTCTCTCCCCATCCCCCCTCTTTCTCTCTATCCTTGTTTTTTCTGTGCTATCTCTCACTCAGTTTGTGTCATTCTCCCATTACCTTCAACTCCCTCTTTCTCTCTCTCTCTCTCTCTGTCTTTTTTCTGTGCTTTCTCTCTCTCTCTCTGTCTCTCTCTTGTTTGTCTCTTAATCCCCCCTCCCTCCCTCTCTCTCTCTCTCTTTCTGTCTCTCTCTCTCTCTCTCTGTCTCTGTCTGTGTCTCTCTCTCTTTCTCTTGCCTGTTTCGGACTCCGTCAGTCACTTTCTTTTTATTCTTATGTGTGTATGAGTATGCACTTTTAGTCTCACTTTAGGAAAAAGCTGGCAGTAAGATTTTATGGTGTAATATTTATTTCTTAGTAACAAGATCATTTCTCGGGCAATGGATCCAGTACCTTCTGGGATCCATAGTAGTTTGGGAGTGGTCACTAACTCTTCCACTCCTTCAGGCAGCAATATAATTAGATCTGTATCCAGTGACATCAGCATCGCGCTGGCCACCTTTTCTTACCTGCACTTTACCTGTTACTCATTTGAGGCTGGGTTGACATGAGAGTCCAGGCTGTATTTATTTTTTTTTTGTCCATTTACGTGTTACCTAAAATGGTGGCTTGTTTGGAAGTTGGGGGGGGGGGTTGGTCTATTCATGTTCCCCCTAAAATGGTGGCTTGTTAGGGGCAGTTGGTCTATTCATGTTCCCCCTAAAATGGTGGCTTGTTAGGGGCAATTGGTCTATTCATGTTCCCCCTAAAATGGTGGCTTGTTTGGGGGCAGTTGGTCTATTCATGTTCCCCCTAAAATGGTGGCAATTGGTTATTCCTCCCTAAAATGGTGGCTTGTTTGGGGGCAGTTGGTCTATTCATGTTCCCCCTAAAATGGTGGCTTGTTAGGGGGCAATTGGTCTATTCATGTTCCCCCTAAAATGGTGGCTTGTTTGGGGGCAGTTGGTCTATTCATGTTCCCCCTAAAATGGTGGCTTGTTAGGGGGCAATTGGGTCTATTCATGTTCCCCCTAAAATGGTGGCTTGTTTAGGGGCAGTCAGTCTATTCAAGTTCCCCCTAAAATGGTGGCTTGTTAGGGGGCAATTGGGTCTATTCATGTTCCCCCTAAAATGGTGGCTTGTTTGGGGGCAGTCAGTCTATTCAAGTTCCCCCTAAAATGGTGGCTTGTTAGGGGGCAATTGGTCTATTCACGTTTCTCTAAAATGATGCCCCGTAACCTGCATTGGGAATTTACTTTTTTTTTTTTTTTTTTCAATTTGATGTGCTAGCATAAGCATTTCTTCATCCACAGGTTCAGATTCGACCCATGATGTATGTGGCCTTGACTTATGACCATCGACTTGTGGACGGACGTGAGGCAGTGACGTTCTTGAGGAAGATCAAATCAGCAGTGGAAGACCCCCGAACTATCTTGTTAGACTTGTAACCTTTAGCTGGCTTTAATAAATTGGTGGTACCCAAGACTGACCATTTTGCTATTTCTTGTAGGGGGGAATTATCTGTGCGTGCAGTGATCACGTACTGTTTGTTAGCGAGATGAAGTCTGTGTGTGTTTATGTGCCTGTTTGTGGGCAGATGTTTGTTGCCTGCCTGATTCAGTGTCCGAGACAGGTAACTCCGTTAGAAATCGTCAGAGAATATTATTTATAGAGCTTGCACTGTGTGATAGTTTACGTTGACGCTGTGAGTTAAAGGAGAATGAGGTGTGTCCTGTGAGATACTTTATCTGGAACAGCACATGTTATACTTGGAATGAGATTAGATATCTTATGAGACATCTTATCACAGCATGATATAGGATAAATTATATGAGATAAGGTACCACACCTTATAGGAAAAATGAGATTTGATTCCTCACCTCAACACCACATGTTTGAGGATAAATGAGATGAGATGCCTTACCTCAACCACAAGTTATAAGAGGAGTGGGATGAGACACCTCATGTCAGCACCACACCTTATAGGATAAATGAGACGAGATACCTTACCTCAACACCACATTTTAGGATAAATGAGATGAGATACCTTACCACACGTTATTTGATAAATGAGATATATCACCTTAACACATATTATAAAGGGATGAGATTAGAAACCTCACCTCCATACCGGCCGCAGGTTATAAAAGGGATGAGATGTTCTGTGTTGTATCTCACCTGGATACAGCAAATTATAATATGATTGGGGTGAGATATTTATGACAAGTCCTCTCGTAACAGATTCATCTTGCATGATTTGCAGGGCAGCATAAAGCCTCCACATTGCTCGATCTAGTGCCAACTGCCATCAGCTGCCCTGCTGTACTTGTTTTGAAGCCTCAGTCTCCACAGTTCTTTAGCAAACTTCATCCTTGGTATCTTTTTTTTTTTTTTTTCGCCAGTTTATTTTGGAATACCAAGTTTTGATAGTTGTAGTGTAGTAGAGTAGGAGTCTCTGCTGAGGCAATTTGAAAGTAAATTCTAGAACATGTCCCATTACAGTAGTGACTATATTTGCTTAGATAAATTACCATGTATACGGGCTGCTGTGTGTACATGTGTCGGTTTGTACATTTAGCCTGTGTACGTGTTCCTGTTTATACATTTAGCCATGTGTACATATAGCTGTATGTACATTTAGCCATGTGCTTGTTGCTGTATGTACATTTTGCCATATGTACTTATTGGCGTGTGCACATATTGCTGTGGCTACATATTTCTACATGTATATATTGCAGTGTGTACATGTTGCCATCTGTACTTATTGCCATGTATGCATGTTATATGGACGTATTGTCATATATATACGTGTTGCATATGCTTCTCTTTATGTATGCTTTATATCTACCTACCCAGTTTGTGTTCTTGAAATAGAGGGATTTCAGAGTGACTTAATTTATAGTTATGCTTTGCCATTATAAATTAATCCTACACAAACAAATATATAAGTATATAATATAAGTATACAGAAAGTATGTATTTTTTTTTTTCTAAATGAGTGCATTATTCATTATGTCAACATAGGCATAACTGTATTTGTGGGGCTCTGTTTAGTGTAAGGATATTATGCGATTGGGGCTCTGCTGCTCAGATGGTGAATATAGAGGTCCCAACCCCAAGCCAAATGGGACACAGGAACCCACACTTCCTTGCTTCCCCAGTCCGTTTGTTTGTTGTGTGTGTTCCTGTTTGGGGATTCTCTGTCCGTTTCTGTTCGTGGTGTTTACAGTATATGGTAAACCTTGTTAACATGAATTCCAGGGAACTGGAAAAATGAAGAGTACATGTTAAGCAAACTTTGTCCTAACTGAGGAAAGATAATACACACCTTCCTGGTGTGACCAAAATTGTGTTCATCTTAAATGCGTGTTCTTCTTAAGGAAGTTCATTTGAACTGAATGTTCTTCTTAAGTGAGGTTTTACCGAATTTCCGTACCAGTTGTTATCTAGAGTAATCTAGACATTTCTCCTTTTTTTTTTCCTGTTGTATCATACCATTTAATTATCCATTTTGTTTTCGAATTGCTTTATCTTTCCCTGTACATAAATGTCTTCTTCTTGATAGTCCATGGCATTGGTAATTCTGGCTATCCACAACCTTCTGTCCCTAATATATTCGGTCATTTCTGACGTAGATGATCTTCCAGGTCAGGATGTCTCTAGCTGCACCACTTACATCTTCTCTGTTACACCCTTCCCCCTTTTCCTCCTTTTTATTTCTCTGCTGCCTTTAATTTAACCCCTGTTACAGCGTATCCCAGTTGTCTGCTTCTTTTCATGTGACCAACAACAAAAATATGGATTGTCGAGTGTCTCTCCATGTAAGTCAGTAGTTCTCAACCTGTGGGTCAAAGGATCCTTTCACGGGATCACCTAAGACTATCGGAAAACAAATATTGGCTATCCTCCGACTAACGGTCGGCAAAGATGGCGGCCGCAAAATATACAGCCGAGCAGCAGTCACGTGTCAATTGCGCGCCTCCAGCTACTTAATGTGCGACTATGGCTACCGCCACGCGGTCCGCACGCGGCGTGGATTGGGGCTGAACTAGATGGCTAGGACTCACGAGCAAGGCTGCAGGAGATGCGGAAGCTGCTGCTCGTGAGTCCTAGCCATCTAGTTTAGCCCCAATCCACACCACGTGGCGGTAGCGGTTGTTGGCGGAAGACCGCAGTTGACATGTGACTGCGGCTCGGCTGGATACTTTGCGGCCGCCATCTTTTGCCGACCGTCAGTCAGAGGATAGCCCGAATATTCATTAAAGTTTTGAAGTAGCAATGAAAATAATGGTATGGTTGGGGCCGCCTCAACAGAAGGGGCTGTATCTGAGGGTCGCGGCATTAGGAAGTTTGAGAACCATCGATGTCAGTAATTCGTTCTCTTGGTGGGTCAGTTTCCATCAAGACATCTACATTACTCTTTCCATTTGTCAAAGGTTTTCTCTGACCCATAACCACACACCAAGTGTGTCCTGAAAGGCGACTAAATAGGGGTTTGCTGATTCGATGTTTTTTGGCTGAAAGATGCAGCTATCGCAGCCTGGCTGTAAACCACAACGCAGCGTCCCAATCTCCCTTTTAAGTTAAATATTGCGTCTGGCCTGGAATAACGCAACTTTTAATTATCGGAGCTTGTGTGAGCCAGGATTTATAACAGACACGGTGAAAACCCCCAACAACCAAGAAATAATTGCATTTCTCACAAGGTGCAAACTGGCAACTTCATTACCCTAAGCACCTCGGAACAAATTACAATCAAGACAAGTGAACAATATGGCGTGGGCTGAAGTCAATGGCGGGAGCCAGGCATCTGCCCTGCGTGAAGTCAAAGACAAGAACAGTGAAGAGGCTGCCTGGCTTGGCTGAGTTCTTATGCGGCAGATGGCGCTCAGTGGGAGCAGCATACACGTACATTTCCCTTTTTTTATCACTGACATTCATCGTAGTCTTGAAGACTCAGATTTTAACGATCGTCATTCCAGTTCAAGGTGGCGAAGAAGGGAGCTTGGCAGGACACTGTTGCCTCCACCTTCGCGGTGATGTGGGAAATGGGAAGTAAAATAAAAGGGAGACCCGTAATACTTGTGTGCTCTGTGGGGAGATATTGGAAACTTCGAGCGGAGGCGTCATGTTTTAGACTCTTTTCAGCGTGCAGTGAGATATTCAATTTCCGTCGTCTGGGGAAGGGCGATAAGTTGAAACCTGATTCTTTAGGGGAAAGGTATTTAAACGGTTCTGTCTGCTCAGCGTGCCATGAAATTCGCTTCCAGACACCGGTATTGTGAGGTGGATGTTACATTGTGCGGGGCTACATCTTGTACCAGCATGTGTCCCATAATGGACTAGGGTCAGAGATGTCATATTTACTATTGCCAGCCTGTCGCCGGAGATTATTTCTTCGTTCTCCTTTCAGAGCACAGGTTCTATGACAATGATGGCAACTTTCTTCTTCTTCCTTTTCTTCTTTTTCTGCTTCTTCTTCTTTTTCTTCACTGGTTATAATCTCTTGTGAAAAGTTCTGGCCATTTCTCCTTTTCTGAAGTTCGTCTTGTTGCAGAACGTCAATTTTGAGTACACGGCCGTTCCACGGAACTGGCTTATTTGTAAGCAGATTTTTAGTTCTTTGCCTATCAGACAGATGCCCTCCGTCTTCAAAGGAAACTCCCCTTGTTACTCGCCTTGTACGACATGCTTGTTAGGGAGGCAGTGGGGCTTTTCTTTTGGCCCCCATAGTGGAGCCCCGAAACGCACACGTGGATTGCAGTAGATAAAACCAGGTGCAGTTAAGCCGTTTCTCGACCTTTGACCTCTAAATTTAAATCTTAAAGGACTCGCCATTCAATGTTAATTATGCTTTCCAGCAGACATGGGGAAAAAAAGGGGGGGGGGAGACCTTACAAAACATGTCTATCACAGGATTTGAATAGCTTGAAAACACATCGGAAGTGACTATTGCATCAGCCAGATTTCCTTAGTAATTTCTGACCAAATGTAAACAGTACCAAAAAACACTGTGCACAAACATTACTCAAACCACTGGACGTAAATTTGCCTAGAGAAACCACACAACAGCCAAGGGCTGCTGGAGTTGGTTCTGCAACGTCCTGTAAAGGATACGCAACTAACCTAACAAACTTTACTCGGTACAAATATTATTCACTGTAAACGACACTCGGTACAAACAATACACGGGACCGAGTACAAACACTGCTGGCTGTACGTGAAACTCAGTACAAACACTGCTGGCTATACGTGAGACTCGGTACAAACACTGCTGGCTATACGTGAGACTCGGTACAAACAATACACGGGACCGAGTACAAACACTGCTGGCTGTATGTGAGACTCGGTACAAACACTGCTGGCTATACGTGAGACTCAGTACAAACACTGCTGGCTATACGTGAGACTCGGTACAAACACTGCTGGCTATACGTGAGACTCAGTA